ATGATGATGATGATGATGATGATGATGATGATGATGATGATGATGATGATGATTGAGTGGTGGTGATGGTGGTGGAAGTGTTCCTGGTAGCGATAATAATGTTGATGATTTTAGTGGCCCCATCAGGTACCAATAGCTATGGTACTCACCAACATCTGACCGGCAAAAGTGGTCAATAAGAGCCTCGTGTGTCTGTGGGTGCTTGCAAGCGGTGCAGTTGTTGTCAGCTGTGGAAGGTACACAAACAAAATTTTCAGCAATTTTAGAAAAGTCATAGATATTTAGAATGTGAACAATTCTTTTAAAAAATGAAAAGAAATACATACATACATACATTAGAAACCTATTCGCCGAAAAAAAGTGACAACAACATGTACAGTGTCTATCAATAACAGCTCTGGTTCATGTATGTTGTATTAAATATCAAAGGCAAAGGTTACAAATTATGTATCCGCAATCACCCTTGGGTACACCAGTAATGGTTGAGCCACAGAGGGTCACTACAAAACTATGCTTTCATTACTGCCGCCATCCGAGGAACACCGTGATTCCTTGTCCATTAATAATTTCTGTCATCCAACACTGCATGAGGTTTTTGTTGGACATAAACCCACAATACTTTCTAAATGTGTATGCTGCTCTATTTAAGAACCTAAAAATCCGTTCCGGGATGTCACTTGCTTGTTTGTTTTGGGGAGTATTTGGGAGGTTGTTTATTTTCTATATCTGGTCTTTTGGGGGGAGGTTGTTTATTTTCTATATCTGGTCTTTTGGGGGGGAGGTTGTTTATTTTCTATATCTGGTCTTTTGGGGGGAGGTTGCTTTTTGGTTTAGGCCGTTTAGTGCGTTTCCTGGTGGGTTAGGGAGTTGGTTTTGTTTTGTTTTGTTTTGTTTTGAGAGATTTATTTTGTTTTACCGGGGAAATAGTTCCAAAGTTCAACGCTGGTCACCCACCACCTCTTTCCCCGTTAGTAAAATAATGTTTTTTAAAAATAATAATAAATAGGAAACCCACACGTTTATCGAGGCACAAATTTTATAGTCAGGATCTTGGGTGTGTTATTTTTTTAAAGTACTCTATAACCTCTAACATAGTTCTGAAGAATACTACACAATAACTTAAAATAACACAGTATCAAGCTACAGCTATTTATTACATAAATTGTTTTAAATGTTACCTGAATTCTAGAGATAACGGAACAAATATTCTAAAGCAAACTCAAATTCCACGTTCGTATGACGTCGTCTAAAAAATACAAGTGATCGAGAAACATTTCTTAATACTTTTTTTTTCATCCTGGGTGTTTATAGGGAAAGAAGGTGGGGCGGAATCAAGAAAAGACAGGTAAAGAACAGGAAGGATTGGGGAATAGAAGCAGCTGCTGATTCTCTATCCTTGCAGAAATTTAAAGGACAAGGTAGAAACAGTTTTATGTTGAACAAGAGGAGAGGTGGTTGGCTGGGTGAACGAGAGGGCGGTTTTTTTAGGGGGGAAGGAGGAGATGGAGGAAGGGGAAGGAAGACAAAATTATTTATTTATTTATTTATTTATTTATTTATTTTGCTTTTCCTCACAATTTTAAACCTGACTCAAATCAGCTAAGATTTTAATTTCATATCTAACAAGGATGAACATAAAATGCTGCTTACTATTGATCGGACGCTCACCATTTTTCTGTACTTTAAAGACAAGTTAGAAAATGGACAGTGTCGTATTTTGATTTTTAAAGTATTATTTTTTACCAAAAAAAGTTTATCAATCAAATGGACAGCCTTTGACCTTGAATAACAATGTTTCTCTTCGTTTTTAAACGCACTCTCAAAATACAGGTATATGAGTTTGTGTATGCGTGTGTGTGTGTGTGTGTGTGTGTGTGTGTTAGTGTGTGTATGCGTGAGTGTGTGTGTGTGTATGTGTGTATGTATATATATTGGATAGATTCGTATGAAGGGACAAATGTTCCTGCGCTTCTGCTAAAGAATGTGTGCGCACGAAAGC